ATAATATTATTCCCAATAATCTTAATCTAGTGATCCCCTTATAGATCCTATGGGAAAGAAACAAATAGAAATAAGTTTATTACATTGCGCTTAACATTATTACATTGCGCTTAACAACTTCCTTGCTTCCATAGACTGGCAAATATGTATGGTTAATGATATTGATGTTGCTACAAAATTATTCTTTCTATAGGAATTGCTCACTTTGTGCTATTGAAGAAATATAGACTTCAACCTCTCCCAAGTGGTTGTCTGCTGATCTTAGAAGACTGACTCTGGAGAAAAAATATACTCACTATACTTATGTTAATAATCGTTCTGATCATGACTATATTAGATCTTCCCACTTAAGAGCTGAATGTAAAGAGCTATCTGAAATTTGCTTTAGCAACTATATTAAAGGCATAGATACTGTCATAAAGCGATCTAGTCATAACCGCCAACTCCTTATTTTATCAAGTCCAATCTGCAATGAATGGTCATGATATAGCTAATTTATTTATGAACTTCTTCTAAACTCTGTATTCACCAAATAACAACAACCTTTGCATATCTATCCATTCATTAAATAGCAATTTCAGTACAAATATTCGTCCTTCTAAAATTACTATGACTGATAGTTTTAATGGCATAAATGAGCTGCCCAATTAGTTTACTGCTGATCTAGATGGTGTGAATAATTTTTTATTAAAAAAGTGTGTGTACCCGTGTAAGGCCATTTGTTATATTGTTAAATAGATCTCTGTAAAACTCTATGTTCCCTTCTTTATGGAAAGAAAGTTATGTTGTTTCTATATTCAAAAATGGTCAGGAAGACAATATTGAAAATTTTCGTAGCATTTGTATACAATCTGCAATCCTTAAGATATTCGACTGTCTTATAGCAAAGCAACTATCTTGGTTATGTAAAGGCTTAATATCTCAATCACAACATGGTTTTCATAACAAAAAAACCACTGCAACAAACTTGGTTTGCTATCAATCTGATATATTATCTCATATGGAAGACCGTAAACAGGTAAGATGCAATATACACAGATTTTTCCAAAGCATTTGATCGTGTATATCACCAAATACTTTTGTGCAAATTAATTAATGTAGGCTTTTATGTCAGGTTTGTTGAATGGAATAAAAACTCTACATCTGGGAGAAGTCAAAGAGTCAAGATAGGTTGTCATCTGTCTGACAGTATCTCAGTAACATCTGGAGTTCCTCAAGGAGGCCATACTTTTTTTTAATATCTTCGTTAACGACATCACTTTCTGTTTCCTAAATAGCAAATGTCTAATGTTGGCAGACGACTTAAATTTTTGAAAAGTTATAGATAGCTTAAAAGGTCAAACCTGTTAAGCCAGATTAATTTTAATGTTCCCCATCAAGCTCTACGTTATAACAATGTTTTGAATATTACTTTCCACAGAACAACCTATGGTATGTTCATTGTGGGTTCTATGTGGGTTATACTCTTCTAACTTCACCTACATCGAAAGATGTCCATTCCAAAGGTGGCTATGTGTTACTAGCTACATATAGAATTGCGAACTACGTTCATTGTGTACATAGATACTAATGTTTCTATATAATCTAGCGCCAATTTTTAAATTAATTCAATTCGCCACATATGGAACAAAACTTAAAATAATTATGTAGTTTACTGTGTAAATAGCTCAAAAATGGAAAAATTGTAGTTGGCCACATTTGGATCCAAGCCATCGAAATGACAGATGAAGGTACATGGCGCAGCCAACCTGTTAAATAATAAAAAGGATTTTGTTGCTTGATTTATTTATAAGTAAACTGTGTATATTGTGTATATTCATATAAATACCTTAGTCTCTCCGTCCTTTTGAGTTATATATGTCCTAGATGTCCTAGATAAGAGAGTTTTTTATATTTAATAGTTAATAACAACTTTTATACCGCATTTGCAATTATTAATGTTTTAACAAATCCGTTCTGCATATCCATAGAAGAATAGAAATAAACTGACTGAATTACATAAAATGTCATCTAACCATATTTTGTTATGACTTATCTGTAGTTGTGCCATAGTGGAGCCCCGTTAGTTATCCTTCTTCTTGATGTGCCTATCCGTTACGAATGTTGGCAATCATCATGGCAATCTTTATCTTATCTGCAGCAGCGCGGAAAAGCTGCACCGATGTTGTATTGAACCAGATTCTGAGGTTCTTTAACCAAGATATTCTTCTTCTTTCTGTACTTCGCTTTCCAAATATGTTTCCTTGCAGGATGGCTGGAAGGAGTTTAGTTATCCTACTTCTTCTTCTTCAAGTTCCACTCCTATCGGAGATTGGAGTTGGTTTAAAAACAATTTCAAGACATGACTCATTAAGGCTATGGTGCGATGTTTATTGCACTCCTTTGTATTTGCTTTTTTGGGAAGCAGTATGAATGTTGATTGGAGCCATTCTTTAGGTATTATACCTGTTCTATATATGGTATTGAATAGATCCAAAAGAAGATCAATAGATTCAGTATTCACAATTTTAAGTAATTCGATAGGAACTTCATCAGGCCCGGGAGATTTACCATCTTTAGCTTGTTTCATTGCATATTCAATTTCTTCTCGTATAATTTCAGGCCCAGTATCATTCTTAAATTCTTTTGGTGCTTCTGTTCTATCTTTGTCTTCAAATAGTTGTGCTATATATTGTGTCCATCTCTGCATTTTTTGGTTTATATCTGTTATAAGTGCACCCCTTTCATCTCTTAGTTGCCTAGTTTGAAGTGTTTTTCTCATTCCTGTTAATTCTCTAATTCTTTTATGCATGTTAAAAAAGTCATATTTTTTCTCAATTTCTTCTAGTTCTTGGCACTGCTCATATAACATTCTCTCCTTAGCTTCTTTTCTTATATTTAATTTAATTTTTTGTTTTGAATGATTTTCTTTCATTCATTAATAGTAGTATTTCTTCAGTCATCCAATCTTTATGTTTTCTATTCTTTGGTTTTAAGTTTTCATTTGCTGTTTTAATTATTGCTGCTTTTATATTTTCCAATTTCTGATCAATGTTATAGCTACTTTTATTCAGTTCTTGGGCATTACGTATATTTTCAGTAAGAGTTTTTACAGTTTGTTCCTTTGTTTGTGGTTCCCTTAATCTCTTAATATCAATTCTACTTTGTGTGGGTTTTTTAACCAGTTTTAATTTGGTTCTTAATGTGACTACTATGGGGTTATGGTCTGAACCGATGTCTGCTCCAGGGTAAGTTTTGGCAGACAGTATAGAATTACGAAATCTTTGTCTAATAAGGACAAAGTCAATTTGATTTCGAATTATTCTATTCGTTGTATCACCGGGAGATTTCCATGTATACAACCTTCTTTTTGGTAGCTTAAAAAGTGTATTAGCTATTACAAATTCTTCCGTCTGGCAAAATTGTATCGAACGGTCACCACGTTCATTTCTATTTCCTAGACCATATTCCCCCACATATCCATCCACTCTTCCCTGGCCAACTTTGGCATTGAAGTCGCCCATTACTATTGTAGTGTGATGTTTTTTCATTGATTTTAAGACTTGTTTCAAATCATGGTAAAACAGTTCGATATCGTCGTCATCTTTATCTGCCGTAGGAGCATAAACTTGAATAAAATTTACTATACCTTTTTTAGACTGTAGTTGTATTGATAAGATCCTATCAGAATAAGGAGTAAAACTTATCAAAGAGTAATTGACCTTTTTTGCAACTAAGATAGCAACACCGTAACGATGATTGACCTCGTTGTTACCTGAATAATACATGGTTCCATTATTTGTAATTTGTTTGCCTGAACCTGGCCACTGTACGTCACTTATACCTAAAACATCAATTTGGAGGTTTTCCATTTCAAGCAGTACGTTCGCTAATTTACCACTTGCATATAAACTTCTGACATTCCAGGTTGCTATTTTCAATGTCTTAAGTCCACAGGGATTTCTCTGGTTTACGACCTGGGAGGCCCTGTGATCTACAGTTATTCCTCCCCTGCCGGATCTTGGATTCCGTGCTCCATAATCAGTAAGTTTGTTTACTCTACTTGTCATTTGCCATTCATGACTTTACTAGGGGTACTCTAAGAGTCTTTAATGCAGTGGTTCCCCGTTGCCTTCTGCATCCTTACGCCGTTGACATATTTTTCGATTCATCCGCCTTTTACAAAAGAGTGCCCTTCCACTTATTAACTCATCCGCCCGCAGCCGTTGGTCATAAGTGGGGGATTGCTTATACCGGCAATCATTCGGTAATTATCCTACTTAACATATATTAATGTAATTTTTTCAATATGTGTAGTGACATTATATGTTTGACAATGTTTTCTCATTTAATTCATTTTTAATTACAGCATGTTTTCGTTGTTTTTTTTTTCTCTCCTTCCTTTATTAGATTTGGGTGTAGTATTGTTCCCATTTTGTTTTTCAATAATTTCAGAAGGCTATTATCCTATTTTGTATTAGATGTTACTGTTTTCTCTTTTAAAACAAATAACGGGCTACACCAGGCTTCAATCTGGCTCTGTGAAAAGTAATATGTATGTCACAAATCACCGGTTCAATATATAACAAATCAGTGCAAATACTTAACTATGCTGATGACATCAATATTGTTGGGAGAATAGAAAATGCCGTAAGAGAGGCGTATGTAGCACTAAAAGAATCGGCTACAAAAATGGGTTAATAATAAACAATGGGTTTAATAATGTATGTATATACGTATATAGATATATCTTTCATCAATATTTTAATTCCAAGTATTTGGAATTTTGAAGTTATTTCGGATTTTCGCATATTTCTTCTTTCTCCATGGAGCGCTCCTAGTTCGTTTGATTGATCTCGTCCTTCAAAATCTTTCATTTATTCCCCCTTATTATTGATAATAATTTCACAATTTTAGAAATATACAGAATAGTGTTTTATTTTTATGTTTTTGAATAAATAAAAATGAATATTATATTAATAAACTTAAACTAAAACTAAACCTACAAAAAAATTTTATAGGATGGAGAAGACATTTATTATGTAACAGTTAAAGACATATGCGAAGGAGAAGCCTTGAAAGTTTGGTACTCGCCATATTATGCTGCAAAAATGCAAAAGGATACCTGGAAACCTAGCAGCAATGACGAGAATCATAATGATACGGAGAATTCTGTAGTTGGTAAGTATTAAAAAGAAGGTTTGCAAAAGCCTTTATTTTTGTTTAATCTCAATCTTGAAATTACTAGAATATAAAGTGAAATTTAACTTAAAGATATTTACATAGTTTTGAACCAATCTTCTGGTATATACATGATTCCACTTTACCCGAGTAAGATACATTTTGCTGCAAAATGTAGGTAATCACTACAATATGTGTTATATATAGTATTCGTTGTTATATTGGTTTTGGGTGATTCAGGTTTTAAAGTTATGGTCGGTTATGGTAGATCAGGCCACAGCCCATTTGTGACCCCTTCAGACAAGGTGGACAAAAGGACCCCCTTTTAACATATCTACTAGGTGGATTCATCTTCTACTGGAAATATTTTCAAAGATTTTTTTTAATTCTGATCGATCTTTTATCTATTGATATTTATTATGTAGTCTAGGGCGAATTTGGAAGAATATTTTACTTTGTGCATAATGTTTGTTGTTATTTCTATAACAGAATAAATGTAGTTACTAATTTTATTGTGTTTCAACTATTTACTAGTACTTCTATGTCATGTAGCAATTTCAGGCAAAAGCAAGTTTGATTTAAAATTTAGGCTTCTCCTCCAATGACTCCTCCTAAAACTTTCTAAACTTATTTTGCTTTTACGGTAACTTTATTAGTTTTGGAAAATTTGTGTTGACATGACATCGGTGGACATTAAGTAGCCATGTATCAATCTTGTATGGCCGATTCGTAGTCTTCTTATTATCCGTGATTCGTTGAGAGTGAAGTTAGTAAGATGTGGCCGGGTAATTTTAGGTTGAATTCTGCGGAGGGCTGTACCACAGTTATTCCAACAAGCTTGCCAAGATTCTAGGATTGACTTTTAAACTTAGCTCTAAGGTTTTTGCTTAGTTGGATCATTGTTTGGCTAATTGATGAAGTAACCGCTTCTTTAGCATGGCGATCAGCAGTTTCGTTACCGATAAGGCCAATGTGTGACGTAAGCCGATAACTGAGACTTTTGTTTCTCGAGCATGAAGAGATTGGTATATGTCGTGTATACACTGATCTAGTGGACGATCAGTAAATATTGATTTTAATGAGAATATGGAGGAAAGGGAATCGGTGCAAGTTGCTACATTTTTGAATGACATGAAAATGAATTTAAATGCTTGGAGGATGCTAAACAGCTCTCCTGTTTGAGTGCTGTATGATGAGGGCAACCAAATGAAACTCCGCAAGAATTTTTGGAGATATCAGTGTAAGGAACTAAATCAAAAGGTTTTTTGTCTAGCATTTCTAGGAAGGCTCCCTTTATAAGAGTAAGGAGTGTGTCATATTTGTTGTAAATGGTAAGGTAGGTGTTAAATAAAGGGAGGTCTTTGGTCCAGGGAGGGGTGAGAGAAGAAGGGATGGGCAGAGTGAGGGATAGGTCAGTGTTCTTTAATAGACGGGCGAGCATTTGTGGTAATGGTGTGCGTAATAAGTGTGCGGGAGGGGTTGCTAATGAAGTAATCAGATACAGAGGTACTAAGATGGTAAATGCGGTTGGAAGCAGATGTTGTCTTGCTCATTAGGGGTCTCGTTAGTAACAATCTTTCTGCGGACCGGAGCGAAAAGCTCCGACGCATAGACGGAGAGCAGTACTTTGGATAGAATCTAATAGTTTGAGGTCAGATTTGGTGACGGACATGTAAATAAAGCAGCCGTAATCTATTTTGAATCGTATCAGAGCTCTGTAGACTCTAACAAGTACATTTTCGTCAGCATCCCGACAAAATTTTGAAAGAGTTTTTATTAGGTTGAGTTGCTTAAGGCAACTTAAGATTTGGTAAGATTTATTCGATTTTTCCAGTTTAGTTCAGAATCAAAAATCATTCCCAAAATTTTACAATTATCCTCTACAGGTACGTGGTTGTTGTTGATTGATATTAGTGGAACAGGAAGGTCGTTTTTTTGCTGAATTTAATAACTTAAGATTTTTGGTGAGACGTAACAGTTGACAGACTTTGTAAGAAGAAGAAGAGAGGAGTATATATCGCTGGAATGCAAATATCGAAGCGTCACCACTGCTTCTAGAACAGTTAAGGTCACTTTACATTTACGAGTACTCGGATCCGAGTAGCTTGGATTTGAGTTACGAGTGGAACTGCGATCGTTTACATTAAATCCGAGCGATCAGAGTAGTTTCAAAGAGAATTTAAAAATGGCGCCATCAAGAAAGAAACGAGCTGCTGTTGCATTAGTGTTATTAAACATTTTAAAGGAGAAAAATAACGACAAAAAATTAAGACAAAGAAAAGCATTTGGGTGAAACAACATTTACAAGAGGTTTGTTAAAGTTAATGATTACCTAATTTAATCTAATTTAAAGCATTAATTCCTTTGATAATGTCCTGATACTCCTTTAGTTTCACATTCCATAAACATTCAAAAGAACGATAAAGATCCATAAATTGATCTGCAGAAAATCTTAGTTCCGCCATTTTTAATTTGGAATTTTCACCACTTTGACGCTCACTCGTACAGGTACTCGTACTGCTACTCGGTTTGCGTTCAACTTCAATCCGAGCTCGGATCCGAGTGACAAGAGGCTCCGAGTAGACGTTTATACTTCCGAGTTGCACTTCGAGTAGAGTAACTCGGATCCGAGTACTCGTAAATCGGACTTTAGTACGTATGCGATAATACCTTTCAAAAATTATTAAGGCGACCACAATGATTTATTTTAAAATCAGTCTCTTGGAAACAGATAAAGTCAGGATTGTAGATTGAAATGTTGTTGTATTTTTTCTATGCCAAGATAGAATCCATCGCAGTTCCATTGGGGAATGGTGAACGCTTCATTTATAAGGAAGAAAATAAATTATGTAGTGGAATTATTGATATATTAAACAGGAGTCAGTGGAGTAGCATTCGTATGTAGTAAGATCTCCGGAAAATGTGTAAGAGTCAGGGTCCAGTTTGCATTTAATCTTGTTCTAAAGACGAGTTAAACGTTTTTTTTTAATAAAAGTTCATTAGAAGCGGTATAGAGCTTATTTAAATCTTGTAGAAGAGATCAGAGTATCTTACTTCAGTATAGAACAAGAGTATTTTATGATTGTTACCGTAATCTTTACATAATATTGAGAACAAACGGGATTGCAGAGAACGTGACTTGACAAAATTAATTATTTTATATTTATAATATGGCGGCATATTTGTAAAATTTTGATATAATAGGTCGGGAGCTTACTTAACAATATACTAAATTTAAAAATGTTTGCTAATAGATCTTAGATAACTTTTTGTTGAGATGTAGGTTCTACTTTAATACATGTAGGTAATTATTCCTTTAATGTATTCCAGAAATAGTTCATACTATTGACATGACTGATGAGAAGAGAGAGCAATTTAGGTCTGAAGTGGATGCTGATTAGGATCTGAAACTAGTAAAGAAATATTGTATACAAGGGTGGCCCAAAACCCTGTCAAGAGTAAGCGATTCAATTAGGTATTATTATTATATAAGAAATGAACTATATTTACTTGACGGACTAATATTTTACAAAGGCAGAGTTATAGTCCCAAAAATATTGAGAGAGAGCATGCTAAGATTATTGAATTCTAGTCAATTTGGCATTCAGAAAACCCAACAGAAAGCAAGACAGATATTACATTGGCCACAAATGAACAGAAGTATAGAAGACTGGGTAAGAAATTGTAGCAAGTGTGAGATATTTAAAAGTCACAATGCTAAAGAACCACTATTACTTAGAGAGTTGCCTCAAGCACCTTTTGAAAAGGTAGCAAGTGATATATTAGATTATGGTGGACAGTCATATCTAGTTCTGATCGATTATTTTTCTAAATGGCTCGATATAGTGAAAATTAATTCAAAAATGTCTCAGGTGATCATCAAGGAGTTAAAGAAAATTTTTTCAACACATGGAATACCTTACAAAGTCATAACAGATAACATGCCTTATAAATCGTGGCATTGTCAGCAATTTGTTAAAGACTGGGATTGTGACGACTTAGATATGGCACTCCTGGAGTATCGCAATACTCCAATAAATGGAACAGATAAAACACCGGTCCAATTAGTAACTAACAGGGTTCGTAGATCGAAGCTACCATCAAATAAAAAGCACAAAGACATAAATCTAAAGGATGAGTGGGAGAAACTAGAGGCAAAAAGAAACGAATATAAAAATTATTATGATAGAAACACCAAGCTAAGAAGAGAAATAGTGCCAGGAGAGAATGTAGGTGTCAGAGAGGGTAGAGAATGGAGACCAGGTAAAGTTCTGGAAAAAGTAGATAAGGCACCCAGATCTTATTTAGTGCAGAAAGAAAATGGGGAAGTGATCAGGTGCAACAGTTATCACTTAAGGCCTTCCCTAGTTAAAGCGGAAATTAAGAAGAATACTGATTTTGCACATAATGATAGATTATTAAACTCCTCATCTGGGAATCAGAGTTGTAGAGTAGAGGAACCTTTAACCTCCCAAATGAATGCTGAAAATAGAACTAGCGCTAGACTCAAAAGGGCTCCAGTGTGTTTTAAGGATTATCAAATGTAAGGGGAAAGATGTCATATCAGTAGGTTATGATTACGCTCACGGGGCTCTAGGCACAATGTATGGAGACTCGTTGTCAGTTGTCACGACTTTTCAAGATGATTGTTAGAACATGGGTTTTTGGACATTGTTGATTCCTAAAGACTTTGTTAATAAGTATGTTTAAATAAATGTATTAAACACAATGAAATATTATTACTATTTGTTATTATGTAATTGTTTCATGCTAATTACAAAAAGACCACAAAATATACATTACCCATTGACAATAAATGGTAACGTGATAGAACAAGTAGAAAAATATCAGTACTTGGGAACTTTGATCAATGAAACCAATTATCATACTGTAGACATAAACAGGCGAATAGAGATTGCCAGATCAGCATTTATACAAATGAATCTACTCCTAACGTGCAAAAATCTAAATTTGGAGATCAGACTACGTACCATTTGCTATTATATATTTTCAATATTATTATATGGAGTTGAGACTTATATTAACATTAAAAAAATACAATTTAAAAAGAATCGAGGCTTTCGAACTCTGGTTATACCGCAGAGTATTAAAAATATCATGGACTGATAGAATTACAAATAAAGAAGTACTGGAAGAAGAAACAGAACTAATCACCACTATACAAACCAGAAAACTGGAATACCTAGGTCACGTGATAAGGGGTCCAAAATATGAAATTTTGAGACTCATAATACAGGGAAAGATTCAAGGAAGAAGATCTGTTGGCCGAAGGCAGAACTCATGGTTAAAGAATCTACGTGATTGGTATCAATGCAGATCGATTGATTTGTTTAGAGCAGCAAGTTCTAAAATAAAAATAGCCATTATGATTGCCAACCTCCTTATGAAGACGGTACTCTAAGAAGAAGAATTGTTTTATAATATACTGAATATTTGTTGTCATTATTACATCATTAGCAAATGTTTTCACTTGTTAATAGTTTAGTTATCTAAATAAAGCACATAAAACACGATTTTTAAAATTCTCTTATATTAAAGAACATAAACTGCATTTCTTTTATGAATTTTGGTGAATATTATGATAATCTTTCTTAGTATTTTTTCTTAACATTTTTCATTGTTTTTAGAACATTTAGTGAAAAATAAAAAGAATATATCGACAAGGGAAATATGGAGTTGTAAGTTTTGTGGTAAAACTGAGAAGTTGCTGTCAGAGTTTGCTTTACATCTTATCCAACATTATCGAATGAAGGCAGACACGTTTTGTCATTTATGTAATTTTTCTTTAAAAAGAGAAAAGGTAAGTTGAGAATATATTTGGGATATTAAGAATTATATCAAATATTCGATCTCTATATTTCAAATACAGAATTTTTGTGCAATAAACAGTAGTAATTGGTAATACAGGGTGTTTCAAAAAGGTATGTCATAAATTAAATCACGCATTCCGGGGACAAAAATAAGTTGATTGAATCCAACTTACCTTAGTACAAAAGTGTACACAAAAAAAAGTTACAGCCCTTGGAAGTTACAAGATAAAAATTGTTTTTTTTTGCATTATCTCCAACAAAATCTAAGCACACAGAAAAATGTTAAGGGGGGTGTGCAGCCCTAAATCCCCTCAAACTTTTGAGTACATTCAAATCAAATAAATTTTGTGGCATCATTACTTTAAAACATTATCGACACATCTTAGTAGAAGATATATTAGATTCCCCACAACCATGGTGGCAAAGATGTCAGTAGCTCGTGGGTAAATACAGTTAAAGTTATTCAAGTATCAACGTTATTATTGTTTAATGTAAATTTTAGTTTTATGGAAAAGTTTAATTTCCCAGGTGTAGTGGGTTGTATAGATGGTACTCATATAGCAATCGTTTCCCCACCTATTGATCATCCACAAAATCCAGGTTTTGTATACCTAAACAGGAAAGGGTTTCATAGTATCAATTGCCAGGTTGTGTGTAAGTTGTTAACATTAAATATTTGAAGTAAATTTTCTTTGTTTTAGATATGTGATTCGAATTTAAAAATACTTAATTGTAATGCTAGATATCCAGGATCCATGCATGATTCAGCAATATGGAATTTGCCTTATTCTGTAACTACAAATCGAATAGAAATGAGTCAAATCGAATAGAGGTCAGCAAGTCGGATCGCAATTTGTAAGAATCGTTATTCTGTAACTCATCACGACTTCTACTATCGGAATGTGTAGAAATTGATTTCGACTAGACAAGCTCTGTCGAGATTAAATTTTGACATCCAAATTGTGTAACGATGTCATCACCGTTCAACAGCTTGAACCGTAGGAGTGTCAGCGTTGGCGCTTCCACCTCCTTAGCACGATGTGAGTGGGGTTCAGAGCAACTATTTAAGGCATATGAATAGCGGCATTTATTCAGTCTTTAGCTTAGCGCCTTAGGCTCCTCTCTTCGCCAGTGTCCTGAACTGGCGAGCCCACCCGGACGGAGGTAGTTCTGCTTTGAAGTTCATGCTCCGTCCATAATTAAGCAAAGTCTACCGATATCGTGTCTTGAACTTTATCGCGGACCTGCATAAGCGATTTTGTAGTTGACGAGTGTGTTCGCAGCTCCCGCTGGTTTGAAGCGGAAGCGAATACACGTCTGAGTGCGATTGACTACACCTATTTTATTTATTATTAATAATTATTTTCTTTCTTTCTTTTATAGGCGTCCGCCGGGGATTCATTCATCGCGGGATCCAGACGGAGCGCAGAGTTAATTTCTACGGCACAAGATTTATTTTATTTTCATATATATTGTACATATATTAGATCAATAGACATATTTTTATTTTAACCTGTGTTTTACTGAGTCTGTCGTCCTGAAAGAGCTACCCGTTACAAATTGGCGCCCGAGAAAAATTGAGGATTGGAAAGTTACTAAAAAAAAATTTAGTAACATGCCGACAGATAAGGACACAGACTCAGTAACAGGTACATCCTGGATAAACCGACTTTGCAAAGAGGAATTGCAGAGCGAGACGTCTTGAGAGTCTTGACGCTTGCGCATTGGTATCATTGTTTTGACATTTATTTGTTGACTTTTTAAAAATAATAAATTAATTATTGTTAATATAAATTAGGGGTTGATTAATTTTTGTAGCTGCTTCATTTTTTAGTCTATGTTGTTATTTATTTAGATAATTGTATATTTAATTTAATTTGTGTCATGTACAATGAATTTCCAAATAGATATGGGTATCATTCTTGGAGGAGAAATAGACGTAGAGCTACAAAGGCAAGTACTATAGTTTTAAGAATAACTACATTTAATAATCTATAATAATTGTTTTCATTTTTTAGACAACTTCTAACTTACAAAAACGAGTTATTAGGGATACAAGTAATCTGTTTGAAATTCCTGACGAACTTTTTAAAGGTTTATATAAGCTTCCAAAACAGATAGCCAACAACTTAATCCATGAATTATAACCATTCTTAATAGATCCACTCAGAATTACGTCAATTCCAATTCATTTGAAAGTAAATATGCTGAAAATACTGAATAAACATCTGTTAATAGTTATTTTATAGGTCCTATGTGCATTACATTTTTATGCATATGGAAGTTTAAGAAAAAACTAGTTTTTTCCTAGTTGGCCATAAAATTACAATTAGTTTCTACGGATACAATAATTATAAACAGTTCCATCAATAATAGTCAATAAGTTGAAGCTATCATTTATTGTGTGAATAAGATTAATAATAAAAATTTTGATATTACAATGGCCTACACATTTCACCAAATGGCAGATATGCATTTAACTTTGGGTAAGTTGGATCAGATTAAATTATGATTTCTATAAACTATCGGGAATATCGTAGGTGAAATAGTGCAGCAGCTGCAAGGCGTTATGCAGTAAAATACCCCAATCGAAATACACCCATAGACGATTATTTCTGACCATTGATTGTCGTTTATGGGAAACGGGTACATTCCAACCGCAAGCTGCTGGCAATAGTTGTCGTCCAATAATGGATGCAACTGATGAAGACATTTTAGAAATCATTGAAGAAGTCCCTGGAAGAAGTACAAGGGTAATGGATGCTCAACTAGAAGTATTGGATTTTGCGATTGGTTGTTAATGGAAACACTCAAAATGTTAATTTTATTAGAAATATTTTGTTTACCGACGAGGTTACCTTCAGTAGAAATGAAATAACAAACCATCGTAACGAGCATATTTGGCTGACGAAAATCCTCACACCAAAAAAATCGACTTATCATCAAAGGACTTTCAAAGTTAATGTTTGGGCAGGAATTGTGGATAACAATCTAATAGGCCCAGTATTTCTTCCCAACAATTTAAATGGTGATAATTATTTGCAGTTCTTGGCAAACGATTTACAAGAGTATTTGGAAGAGGTAAATATTGCAATAAGGCAAAATATGTGGTTTCTACAAGATGGCGCTCCTCCGCATTACAATAATGAAGTCCGGGAATATCTTTGCAGGCGGTATCCTGGTCGGTGGATTGGAAGGGGTCGTGACGCACCTATTTATTGGCCACCCAGAAGTCCAGATCTTAACCCCATGGACTTTTGCTTTTGGGGCTTTATGAAATAGAAAGTGTATTCTGTAACAATAGACGACGACCAACAATTTATAGTATATTTGAAGAATAAGCTGGAGTAAATTCTCAGAAAAAAAACTAAATTGTTAAGCATATTTTAGTACGTGTGCTTCTCGTACAACGTCAATATTTTAGCTTATTTTACGTTGGGTTTGACTATTTAGATAGAAATTTTTCCATGTCATATGGACTATCGTAAAATTTAAATACCTGCTATTATTATAACTGTGTAGGCTAGGGTTTTTTCAGCTGGTCATAGACGTACTTTAAGGGTATTACATTATATGTTTCGGTTTGTTAGATATTTAAACTATTTTCAAAGCATATTATATTTATATAAATCTGTTTATTTTAGTAACGTTATTTATGGTTATTTTTGTCGTTATGATAATGACCCATTACATAACAGGAAATAAACAATCTCTTAAAATACATAGGTATTTAGTTAAAGGTCTTTTGATAGTTTAGATAGAAAAAGTCGATTAGCGAAAGATGGTTTCTGATAAAAATGTGAACGCTATCTTAAATAGTATAAATTTCGATTTTGTTTGGAAAACCAATGATTAATAAAATGGTTAATGGTCTTTAAATAGTCATTCAATTATATCAGACAATTTTTGTTTAGTCGATTATAAGCGAGTGAAGAGATCTGACACAGTTGTTTTTTGTAAGAGTGAATAGTGAGTTATGGAATTAACGTGTGATTATACACCAGTTAAAAAATTAAAGTTGAATCATTTATCACTTAACAAAAAGAGTGTTATCCTTATTTTAAGCAACACAATCCTTCCAATACTGTTGATAGTATAGTTGAAATTTCGTCTAAAGTAATGGGATATTCAAAATCAACTGTATATAACATTTTAAAAGAGGAAAAATCAGCTGGTATAACGCCACCCAAACCGAGACCAGGAAGACCAAAATTGTCGAAAGTGAATGTGGATGAATTTTTCAAAAATGCAATTCGTAGAATGGTCCACTCATTTTTTTTAACAAACAAATAACAACACCAACTTTAAATAAAGTTTTACAGCCATTACCGACGATCCCGATTTACCCACAATAAGTAGAGACAAACTTTGGAAAGCTTTGCATGAGTTAAACTTTGAGTTAAAGTATGAAAAAGTGGGCAGACAGTCAATGCTTATCGATTCCGAGGAAATTGTGTGTTGGAACGAGACTACCTCAGAAAAATAAAAAAAAATAAAAATTAGGACAGAAAATAAGAACTTCTGGAAGGATATTTACCTGGTTTCAAGGAACGAACAGGTAAAGGTCGACGATTAATTGTTACCCATATAGGTAGTATGAATCTTAAGGAGGGTTTACTTTCGTTTGAATCAAAAAAGACCTGTGATTATCACGAAGAGATGAACGGAGACGTGTTTGAAGAATATTTCAAACAGATGATTGAATTCATATCTAAAAATTCAGTTATTGTGATGGACAATGCAAGTTACCACTCTAGATTAGTTAACGTTTACCAACTACTCAATGGAGGAAAGATGAAATTGCAATGTGGTTAACTTCTAAGAATTTAATCTTTGACGATACAATGACAAAAGCAGAATTATTAGAGCTTGCTAAAATTAATAAACAAATTTATAAAAAATATGTCATTGAGGAAATAGCCAAAAAACGAGGAATTGAAATACTTCGCCTACCACCGTATCATTGCGAGCTAAATCCGATTGAATTAGT